ACATTAGGTGTTTAATCTTGTTTATCTGTATAGATAAAAGAAAAAAAAAATAATGAGCTTTGTAGATCATAAAATTTAACCCTGAGATTAGAATAAATTTAACGATTAATAATATATATATGCCGTCTTATTTATATAAAGTTACACGTGTTCAAAAAGGAAATTATTGCATCGAATGACTTGTTCCCTTTAAAGTGACGTTGTTAGGAGTTTTTTGTCTACTGTTAAGAAATCTTCTACTGAACATGAATGATCGCTACTCACATAGCACGGTGATTTCACTTAAAAATTTTTTTGTATCTGCATGTGTGTGTGTGTGTGTGTGGTGTGTGTATGTGTGTGTGTGTGTGTATGTGCATTCCTGCGTGCTCATAATTAATGACAGCAACAAATAACACTGAAATATGCTTTAACACACGAAAAGTAATGCAGCAGAGAGAGCCCCAGCTTGTTGTTTGTCCTCTCACGTACAATTCAATAAGAAAGTTTCTTGTACACCTGAGCCTTTTTTCAAATAACTTCGATATTTTTACGTCAACCATATATAGAATCATTTCTATTAATGTAATATGTCCATGTAATATATACCTCGCTATTTATATTTACAAAAATTATTAATATTTATCAAGCGCAATGAGCAAAAATATCGATACTTTGTGAATTAAGATGCTAATAACTTATATAAATAATTCGTTGTAAACAACTCGTAGATTAAAAGGCCAAACAAGAGTACAGTGAACGGGCGTGTTTGTGCCAGGATATACAGGCAGTGGAGCGGAAAAAGTCAGTTTCAAACCTGTGTCAATAGTCGCGTTATTTGAAACTTCTTATTAGAATCTATAGAAGTACATATTTCATATATGTACAGTAAATGTGTGCGAACCAGAGCGAGCGTGAAAGTCTAATGTAAAACTTAAATTTTAGTTTAGAATTAGACCGAGTTTTCTACTTAAATTGCGATCGCAAATATAATGTCACGAATTTGGTATGATTCAACCGAAAAATTTAAATCTAACTCTAAACTCCAATCTGAGCACGTGAGACAACAGCTTTAAAAGAAATACTCTTAAATATAAATACGATATTTAGAGTTAGATTTGAATTTTTCGATTGAGTAATATTAAAAATATATTCTATATATAGTTCAGTTTGACTCGAAAAAATGTGTTCTCAAATTTGAGTTTAGAATCTATAGAAGTACATATTTCACATATGTACAATAAATGTGTGCGAACCAGAGCGAGCGTGAAAAGGAACTTATCTATAATTGTTGGTACGATTCTGCAATCGAGCAATTTGCCCATGTTTAATTTATTAAATGGTGGCAACTGATAATCATTCCGTAACATAGTTGTCCTCGTACTCTCGGTAAGAAATATGCAATCATACTTCTGCGACTAACGTGTGTATTAAATGTCACGATGGTGCAATACGGGGCAACAACCGAAGGAGAACGTAATTCCGTGAAACACACTTCTAAAATTTAGACATGGACTTTGATTTTATTTAATAAAGTGGCATATTTCCATACAAAAAATAAAAATTATTTATATGAAGCGTTATAATTGTCTTTCGTATATTTTTATATGGTACATTGGACGCTGACTCTGCAATCCCTTATTGGAAAAAGAGAATTCCTCTTATTTTCTTCTTCGATTACGGAAAATATAATACAATTGTTTAAATAAACATTATTTAGTATTTAAACAATAACCCAGTTCTATAAATACTTACATACGCGTCATTCAATACAAAAAGCTGATGGAAAAGTTGCGCTACATTATTAATATTTATATTACTAATGTAAGCATAGTTAAAAAGTAATGAAGACAATTCAAAATATGACGAGAAATTATCCTGGGAAATCCTGTTGCGCAATAATATTCTCGTGATACATCACGAGAATCCTGAATAATGTTTTAAGTGGCTACAAAGTTCAGTTTGACTCGCAAAATCGTAATATGGAAAATAGTTCGTATAAAGGAAGACATTCATGACTAATAAAGATGCTTTGTGAAAGCGTATTGAAGGGAAGGAGAAAAAAAAACAAAAGGAAGCACTTTCCATAGGATGCGATACATTGAGTGAGAGCGTTATTCGCACGTAAATAATACCTATAATACATTTTTCGTCGTCATTATCGTTGTTATCATCATTATGCCGTAATATATTTTATGAAATGAGGTCATTGATGCAAGTGTTAGATATCGCATATAGGCGAACATTCTCACGGAAATTCACAGCTACTTAACCGCATGTGCTTCATTTGTTACGAGGAAGTATCTTGTTATAGCTCGCTCCGGTAAATATTCATACAGGTGTGACTATGTCGGCGTATGGCTCTGTGCCCGTCGTCCTTATAAATTCGCTGGAAGCATGACAATTTAACTTTATTGACACTCAGTCTGTGTTGATAAGTCGATTGCTCAACAGGATTTGTCTATAAACACACGAGGAAACCGATGTCCTTACTCGAGTTACAAGTTCTAAAGTGAATTATTTTACGTGAGATCTTTATTGGTTAAATGACGAAACTATTCAAAATTATCTAACAGAGAGTAATCAGAGGTAACCCAAGTGGGAAAAGCAATATGTCAAACGTAATAAAAACATTATCGATATGCGCCGGTATCGCTTCCATCAATGTGATCGCAAGTCATGTACAATTAGAAACAGTTTACAAATGGAAGTACTTCGATTACGAGTGGGAAAGCGAGAGCCATAGGGAAGCAGCGATAGCATCGGGCGATTACAACTACACAAAGCCTATAATTATTGACACCGATCATGCGAAAGGTGATACTTAACATAATTATTTAATAATTGATTATATTTTTTTCTATGTTATAATATTTTGAGATGCGCTGGGAATCAATGTTAAAGGTAAACAAGTGATACTTTCGTTAAATATTTTTATTTTCTCGACTACTTGAAAAATAGATAGCCTGTGAATATAAGAAAAGACATGTAAAATGATTTATCTAAATAAGATTGTAATTAATTACCAAAGATATTTGATAATTTGCGACAACTTTATATACGTATTGATTTTCTTCGAGCAGACGGAAGAATTTTTGTAACTATTATAAGAGCCGACGGAGTTCCGTCGAGTTTGAACGTGATCGGTAATCGGAGAGGTCCTGGTGGCCCCCTTCTGCAACCGTACCCTAGTTGGGAGTGGACTAAAAGAGGAGACTGCAACGGGATCACCAGTGTTTATAGAGTAGCGGTAAGTTAATTATAATTCTAACGAGCGATCGCTCCTTGTGGTTATTTTTTAAAATCGTGCTCCGTGTATACACAACGAGAAACATCATGTAAAAACCGTTTTCTATTAATATTTATAATTATTATTATTATTTATAAATATTATTATAATCCTGTTTAATACCGGAATAATTTTGGAAGTTTGATCACCCATTCCTGAAACCGGCATACGTGTGCCGTAATACTTATATTATTATTAGGATTATTGCAACTTTCAATCACACGCATATATCTAGATTGAAAGCAACGGTTAGAAAGCGTAGTAATTAAAGTATATTAACCCTTTGTACTCCTATGTCGAGTGTGACTCGACATCAGTTTTTATCTCAGGAGCTTGGAACTTCCTCCAGTTAATTTTAATGGCCGCTTTGTCTTATTCGAGAGAACTTACTCAATTAGTGCAATATTATATTATATTATTAGTACAATATTATAGCAATATAGCATAAGACTTCTCAGTACAAATACTGTGAGTACTCGTTTTATATGATTTTGAAATATAATTCGGAGTGCAAAAGGTTAAAACCGGTCTGTGCACTTGGCATTGCGATTTTATAATATATCTTTTGATAAGAACTTTTGTAATATCTTGCCTCAGATCGATCCATGTAATAGATTGTGGGTGTTAGACAACGGTAAAATCGGATCAGAGGTAATATGCTCGGCGCAGTTACTCGTTTTCGATCTCGCTACGGATAAGTTGATCAAAAGAGTGAAGATACCGATTGAACTATCGCAAAATTCCGAGACAGACGTGGGCCGGCTGGTTACTCCGATTGTCGAGACACACGGGCCTCATTGTACAAATACAACCGTAAGTGTGCTAAATGATCACGCGATGCAGCTGCTGTGTACTCCGTAATGAGCAATGAAGCATTCGTTACGCTCAACGGGGAATTCCAAGTTTGCACATATCAAAATGCTAATAAGGAAATTAATTGTCCGGAAAATTGTTTTAAGCTTCTAGAATTTAGCATAAATTTATTGCAAAGTTTTTGCAACGCGAGTTTCCTTCGTTAGGTATACATGGCGGATATCTCAGGATACGGGCTCGTAATTTACGACCGCGGCCAATTATGGCGACTCGAGTCCAAACTATTTCGTGCAGATCCAGCCGTTACGAATTACACTATCCTGGGCGAAAGTTTCACACTTCAGGATGGCATCCTCGGAATGGCGAAGCATCCGGACATACCCGTCCTCTATTTCAGATCTATGTCTTCCCATGATATGAGCAGTGCGGGGACTACCGATCTGAAAAACTCGCGACACAATTCTAAAGTGCGCTATCACACGATACCAGATGTTATTCCCAGCCAAGCTGCGGCTATGGCTGTATCGTCGGATGGTATATTGTTTTTAGGTTTGCCTACAGAACTGTCCTTGGCATGTTGGAACACCTGCAAACCGCTTAATAAAGACACCTTGGTCAGTTTAACTCACGTAAAATCTGATTTTAAAAAAGTTACACATATAATATCTATATCCATTTATACATGGTTTANAGACGTAACAATATATATATATATATATATATATATATATATTCATTTATTTACTTATTTATATATATTTAGAAAAAATTAAAATATGATCTAATTTGATTCGCAGGGTATCGTGGCCCACGATCCCAAAAGACTGCAATTTGTTAGTGGCGTTAAAATAATACCAAAATACATAACAGGCACAAATGAAGAAGTTTGGATAGTGACTGATCGTTTTCAGAAAATCATGGCTGGTACTATGGATTTTTCAGACGTGAATTTTCGTATTATGAAAGCGGATGTCGCTCAGTTGACAGCTGGTACTGTTTGTACTCAATCATAGTAATAAGGATTATTGTAAGTATAAAATCAAGAAAACTAAGAAAATTCAATGAATTTTTATTGATATAAAAGAACAGTGAGCTTAATTAAGTAAACTTGATTAAGAAAAACCGATCGAAATAGATTCTCTCTCTCTCTTTCTCTCTCTATTTCTTTTACTCTTTTCATGTTATCCTATTTTATCTTTTTTAAATATTTCAAAATATAAATTTGATTAATATTTAATTTAAATAATATTTAAATTAAATTTAAATATTAATATATTATTGAAAAATTTAATATATTATTTACACAATTAGCACGTAAAAACCACTTTCTCGGACTTATTATTAAAATTAGTTATACTCAGATATTTATAAATTCAGATATTTGTAAATTCAAATCACTCGCGTGTACGTTTAATATATATATATATATATATATATGTTTAATGTATACGTTAAGCATGAGTGCGTTTTAGGAGAAAGTTACTTAAGAGAAAAATTAATGTAACGTGAAACTTGCATTACAGGCTAATATTTGGCTTATTGCTTACTGCGCGTCTATACATAACAAGTCTTTAGAAAATATCCTAACATTATGATGTGTATAACAAGCAGAAATTAGTTGAGATTAGATTTTCCAAAAGAATTATGCGATCGAATAAAAAATAATTTATATCCAAGAAGTAACATTTCGCTTTAAAAATATCCACAAACTGATTACAACATTCGAGGTGATATCGAAAATAAGCATTAAGTAAAATAAATATTTATATTCATAGAGAAAATATATTTTTTTCAGAAAAATGTATGCTGTGTATGTTGATATTTTAGATATTTTAGATATTTTAGATTTTTAAATATATTTTAAATATCCGAAATATTTGTTGGTATCTTTTAGATATTTTACATATCTAAAATTTTTAGATATATTTTAGACATTTTGGATATCAACAATAAGTTCATATGTTTTGAAATGTGTGTGTGTTTTAGAAATTTTCATCTAATAATAAGTGTAATATACATGAATAATATAGAAATTCCCCGATAAAATTATGTACATAGAATATATATATGTCTGCATATGAAAAACGTTATTTTATATATAGAATGTCCGGGATGTAGTAAGAAATTATAAAAGAAATTCTTTCTCTTTCTCAAATGCGGCAGTTTATACAAAATTATCTTACAAAAATCAAAGCGAGACGGCATTACTACAATCTATCGTTTTGTAATTATATAATTATTAAAACGCTACAATAGACATTATGCGGTAATGTACGTAATCATATGGATAATCCACTTCTTAGTGCTTGATAGATCGTCGGTAATTAGACGGGATATGAAATCGGAAGGAAATAACGAATCGCGTTATGGCGCATGCCTGGGACTTAAATGGAGAAGGTGCGGGTAAAGGGCGCAAAATATCGCGTAACTTTACCAGTACTCGTTGCAAGAGTGCCGAATCAACATCGCGTTTCTCTAGCCGAGTGTCCCACATTGCTCCGATCATGCGTCGCGAGTAACGACAATTCCAGTGTGTGTCGAAATGAAACGTGAAAATGCGACGATAATTCGCATGCTCAATCACATGTTATTTGTTGCTAGTCAATTATAACAGTGATAATAAAGTACAGATAGTCGCGAAGGCGAATAGATTAGATAATTACAAGATTAGATAATTACAAAGCGGTCGTTGATACGTGGAGCGCGCGAATCTTGAATTTAGCGAGCCTTGTACGCGTCCCAGGAGATGTCAATGCACGTGAGTATCGATGTTGTGCTTGTAACGTTCGTCGCCGATCGCAGAAGGAAGTAGTGTAAGTGCGAAAGCGAAAAGCTGTTCTCTTAATCTGCGATGGAAAGTGGCATTGATGTTAAAGTCGAAAGAACGTCTCGCTTCGCTTGGCGAACGAGTTACAGGAACGGAAGTGCCATGCCATTTCAGGTAGAGTGAATTCGCCTGGCCGTTGCATTCCGGTGAAAGAAGGAACGCCTGCATACGCACGTACGACTGTGCGTGGGTCGCGAGTTGCAGCGCTATCCGAAACGTCGACAACGTTATCGGGAAGAAGAACGTGCGTGGTATCTTAATTGCATCTTAATTGCAGATTTCTCATCAGCTCGGAGTCAACTACCTGCTTTAAACTTAATTTATAACACCATCCGACATTGTTTCGCAACACGAGTGTGAATAGTCGTTTCCGTTTTTTTTTGCCCGTTGAACGCGAATCCGTTATCCAAATTTAGCTGTCGCGTCGCAATTTTGAGAAAAATGGCGTGAAAGAAACCAAATACCGTCAAAGAGACGATTTTTATGGTTTTCATGAGGGTTGTAGCATTGACAGTAAATTACTTTCTAAATTTCGGGAATGTCACGCGAAGGTATCAACTTTTAGCTTTAAAGTGCATTCTGTTTGGTTTCGTTACGATTTTCCGTTTTCGAGATACAGCAATTTGAAAATAGCTCTTTTCTCATGTAATGTATGAAAAAAATATTTTATTCCATCTTCGTGCTGCATTACGCGAAAAGTAAGTGCTTTTATACTTACGATTGTATAACATATAATCGGATCGATACTAAATCAAAAACAATATAAAATTGATAAAATACAATGTGGCAGGAAGATTATAATTCGAAAACTTCTTAGCCGATGAAACATTTCGTATGGTTGTTGTACAGATTATTTTATTGACTTAGAAATATTTGAAGACGTATTTAAGACGATCCTTAAGCATAAGAACGGGCTATGAAGCGAGCCTTAGTGCGCACTCGGTGCGCACTAGTGCACATAATCGAATTCGCCAATAGAAATGTAATTACAAACTTTTGAAAGTTCTCTTACAAGTCCGACTCCATTCCAAGATGAGAAATTATTTTATGCTTTTGAAGCAGTCTAATAATTACAAATGTGGATGTATGCTCTAATGCTCTAAAGAATAATTCTTTCTTATAAAAAGAAGATTGTAAAGCATGAAATATTTATGTTATCGTATATTGTATATTGTAAATATATAGCAGATGAGTCAGCGCACAGAAATCTGCAATAAATATAAAAGTATAAAACCATTTCGATATTATAGTGGGTATTTGCGGAAAATTACAATAATGGGAAACGATGTGTATTGTTTTAATTTTTATTAAAGTTAGTCAAAATATAATATTTTAATAATTACTCTTCGTTGTTACTGTAATAAAATAAAAATTCGTATTATTCATGAGAGATTAAGGCAGCTTATAAATCCTACATTGTTTTTGTTATATTTATTTGTTCAGTTTATAAGTATTTCTGCAAACGCAGTTCATAATATAAACGTAACTATTTTTTTCAAATTTCTCTGCTCTCTTTCTCTTTTATTACGCCACACATGCAATAAATTATGATACTATCGATAAAATGCGTAGGCACGAAATTATCCAGGTATGGACGCAATTACCGCCGATTTCACCGAGCGCAAAAACGTACACTGACACTCAGTCTCTCCCGTAAAAATTAAAGTTTCGAAAATCCTACACTAACGTCACATCTGTGCATTTTAATTCTAATCTAAAAAAAAACAGATTTCGAACTTAGAATTTAGAAATTAATACAAATTTTAAATATTTTTAACTAATTAAATAAATTGTCATGTACAAAGAATAAATAAATATTAAGTCTTTTGACTCCTAAATTACAGTTCCTGTATTGAGCCATTATAATATAAAATTATAACTATATATAAAAACCATACTGAAACGACAACGTAACAAACGTACAAACATCGCACCCATTTACAAACGTTTCTAAATAAACTATAGGATTAAATGTAAGTGACAATACTTATAGCTCTCGCGTTTTCTACATTTTCGCATTCGTTTCCAAGACGGCACTTGTAGTCAGCCTGTGATCGTAATATGATTATCCGCGAATAAACGTTACGTTACGTTATGTCGGCTATCTCAACTTTCCTCACGGCTTAATTACCATTTTCGCACAATCAGCCCGCTGCATCATCTTGTATTGTACTTCCAGACACGCCATGACGAGAAAGAAGAGAGGCATCAAAGGTGTACAAAGGACCGAGTGGTTGTCGTTCCAACAGCTGTGGACGCCGAGGCAAACCAGCCGATCCAACAATTATATTTACGTTCCGCCTAATTGTGCTTTCGGGAGTACCAAGGATGATTCTAATTTCAAGCAGCAACGTGAGCTGCGTAACCGTGAAAAACTTCAACCGAGCAATTTGCCACGCAGAGATCGTAAGTTCAACAACACCTGTGCGGAACTAATCAGCAGTCGGTGGAAAAAGTCACGCTACTTTCATCGTGCTTATAACCCGGTATTTACATCTATGTCAAGGAAACTAAAAGAAAAACACTATTAATGTCAAGATTAACGTTGAATTTGAATTTATTCGCAATATATTTCGAATATCTGTGCGTGTTAATCGTTGTACATTTATTAGAGTTGCATTTAATTGACTTAATCAGGGTAAAAAGAACCAAGATTTCTTTATCATAATTGGTTGATTAAATTTCATTCTATCCTCAGCGTAAAGTTTTCGAACGCAGTTCTATTATTATTCATTTGTTTCCGAACATTCTTTCCTCTCTCTTTCATTCAAGTACACGAAAAAAAATAATTAACTCTCAGAGCTGAAAATCGAAAGATAGAAAGATAATCGTTAATGTATTTTACACTGAGATAATTAACTCAAAATAACAGACTGCAGATGGATTAAAAATGAAACAGTTCATAGAGACAGTTGAATTATACCGAACGCAGGATCCGCATTGTTACAGCTGTACGCTGTAAAATTCAAACGAGTTTTGCCTACAATGTGGCAGCATTGCAGCAAAAAGAAACACCTGGTGTTGCCTCGTAAAAGTGCAATTATAGTGTTTGCCGGGGCGGCTAAATGGACAGCCTTCCAGAAAACGCTGTCGCAACCATGAAGTTTTCATTTTTAAGAAGGGTTAGAAACTCCGGAATTTTACGTTGTGCAACATACAAAGTAATTTGCATAACCAGGACATTTGCATAAACATTCGACTTGAACACACACTTTTACATTCATAAATTTTTTGAATTATAGTGTAGCATAGTGTAGCATGTGACGTACGAAGCACGTAGAATGGAGGTAGCGAACGTATAATTACAAAATGTTGACAATTTCTCACCTTGGAAGTTCTGCAAGTGAAAACGAGTTTTCATGATAGTTCAAGCTGTCGTAGCTGTCAAGCTGAAAAACATTTTCATTTTCTAAACTTCCAAATAACTTAGAATTTTCAATTTTTATTTGACATCGAACAAATACGTTACTGATGCCTTTTTTAATTTTTTAATACGTTACTGATAAGAAATAACAAGAAGGTAAATAAAGAACTTGAAGAAATTATAATGAACATAAAAAATTTCGAGAAATAAGAGGATAAATCGCAAATAGAATAAACACGCGCAACAATTAGGGGAGAGCTTGACGCTTCCTGAAAAAATAGGTAAGATTCAAGCAGCTGTAACTTCATCAAAGTTATCGAAATCCAAAGAAATCGAAAAAAATCGAAAAAAAAGTTTTAAAGCTTGAAGTCTCTACTTTCAGATAATCTATATCATCTTTTAATTCTTTTAATTTGGGTAATTTTTCCATACCAAAAACGACGAGATTTTGTCCAGCTCGTCGTTTTCGGTATGTAAAAAATACCAAAATTAAAAGAACGAAAAAAAAAACGATGGGACCGTTCAAAATTCTTTATTTTAGATTTCAATTTCGATAACTTTCGAACAAACTTAGTTCACAAAGTTACAACTGCTAGAATCTTGCCTATTTTTTGAGGAAGCATCAAGCGCTTTCCCAATTATTGTGCGTAATGTGTAATACGATGAGAAATAGCTCATATAGCTAACGTAAAAAGTTTAGAAATTTATTTCTGACGCAGTCATACGAGGGAAAAAAGTTGCACGATTTCACGATGGAGATGCGCGAGTTCCCATGAACTCATCCGCCAATGACCTATACCGTGACTAGAGCCTGGAGTCGTTACACGGACGAGAGGGAAAATCATCTTCGGTAGAAGGGATTCGCCATTCTCTCCTTTCGTAGGATCTAGACACACTTACGACCCGGATAGTGAATATAGTAGTCGTGTAACATCCATGGTGCCATCTTGAGTACTCGTCCCTCTCGCGTTTGACACATCACTTATAACGATAACGCGGCAGAGGTCAGAATCAACAGCACGATCTATTCTTGTATCTTTAGAGTCTCAGGATTCGAAATTTACATTACGCCAAAGAACGACTATAATCATACTGCTTAAAGTAAGTAAGGAACAATATAAAAGTGTGTTTGAAAATTGCTTTCGTCCCATTATTTATTCTAATAGATTATTATCAGTACGTTGTGTTTTTCTCTCTCTCTCTCTCTCTCTTTCTCTGTGTCGTGTTTATCACGTCATTATTGTCACGCGTTACAGCTTGACAAACGATTAATTCTTAATTAGTATATAGCACTTTCATCGAATATTGGTGATTATTTTGCGTACGCAAAGAGACCTACTTACCTCAATAATGAAAATACATTTTCGCCGATTGTATGACGCTGCGAAGATTGCGCTGGATTTCTAATCGTATCGAGAGCGCTAACGCGCTTTTTCGTTTCTCGTTATTTAAATTCTATCACCTCGTTTCTGTTAAATGCAGCGCTGTAGCGAAATGTAGCCGATCATTCGGGGTACGGGATAAATGAACGAAATTAAAATTATATCACGGAGGAAATATATATTGAAAAATTTCCCTTCGCAGGTATGGCTAATATGATGCCACTGTTGTTATCAATGTCGCTTATGGGAGGCCCGCAATTCGCAGCTTACACAGGCCCCGGTATCTTATCTAGAGAGCTTCAGGCGCCCGCGCTGCCGTTAACTCCGTCAGTTTCCACTCCGCACTTTTCTTCGACTCGCGTAAGAAGGAATATAACAGTATAATATACCTTTAAGGGAAATAACATTGATTGTATTGGATCGGTCGAGAAAAGTTTTCGCTCGGTTTTCCGCCTTCTTCAACGATAAATCAACCATATTCCTCCCCGCGCGCTATAGAGATATACAGATACTTTGAGAACATTGGCGAAGAATCGCAGACGACAGCGACTACCTAATCGATGAATAATTTCTTTAAATTTAGTGCAAAAATGTCAAATTTGACTCGAGAATCGAACTTTCTGACTGATTCGATATACAAAATATACAAAATATATGTACATTTAATATATATTTTCTTTAATTTTCCGAATTCAGGGTATTTTCTGACAATATGGACATTGCAAACTTGATAATTTGAGAAAAGAATCAGTCGGATTAAACCACGCGATTTTTAACATAGAATATATCTCGTAAAATTTTTTCGCTGATAGGCAATCAATTACAAAGGCTCTAAATCGGCTTACGATGAGCACAATGGCTGGTCAAAATTGCCGGTACATACGAACACAGGCAATCCTTACGGATCGACACCACAATTGCGGCACCATGTTGTTACATCTAATCTGGGAAGAAGTGATTTATCAAGACCCACTGGCAGAGTCATTGATACATTTCACACGGATCCTCATTTAGTAAATCAATTAGATTTCCATGATTTTGGCGACAGTTTCGAGCCGGGACATATTACAGACGACTACGTTGGACCAGCTATGGAACTAGTACGTAGTATTTTTTGTCTTATCGTTAAAAAAATATTTTACACATAAATATAAATATACATATGTATGTTAGTATAATTATTAACTATACATAATTATACTAAACAATGCACGAAATTTGTTCGTACATAATTATTTAATACTGATCATATATAATTATATATGATTAGATGTGATTAGATATAATTATCTGATTACTATTGTGCATTTTTGATATTGTAAAAAAATTTTTAAAAAACATTTCTTCCACGTTAAGAGATTTGCTGAAACCTTCTCGTATGCACAGAGAAAAAAAATGGCACAATAGTAATTAGATAATTATATCTAATCCTATATAATTAGTATTAAATAATTATACATGGACAAGTTTCATATATAATTTAGTATAATTATGTATAATTATGCATATTTATATATGATTATGTATGAAATATTCTTTAACGGGTTGCCATTTCTTGGTGAAAATTAAATTAAATTAAATTAAATTTTAACCAAATAAATTTCAAAATAATTTTTCGAAAAATATTTATAAATAAAAGAGTCTTTTTACTTTAACACAGGTATACGCATGGTCTACGATCGACTTTGAGTTTAACAATATCGAAGAGCGAGACAATGCTATATTTAAGGGCGATTACATAGCTGAAAATAATTTGCCTCTGGGCTTAGATGTTTGGCGGGACAAAGTTTTTATTACTCTACCAAAATGGAGGGCTGGTATACCGGCGACTTTAGCCACCGTGCCGAGATATTCGAAGACAAAAAGCCCTAAGTTGAAACCATATCCCAACTGGCACTGGCATCAATCAGGTTGTCTTCATGTTAACTTCGCATATATTTGCTACTTTATATTTTATATTATTTTTATTTGTTATTTATATATGGGTGTGTATATGCGTGTGTGTGTGTGTGTATGTGTGTGTGTGTATAATAACATAATATTTATGTCTGTTTATTTATACACATTACTTATCTAATCTCCTTCAATGAATTTTAGAAAGCTGCGACGGTCTGACTTCCGTCTTTCGAATCCAAGTAGACGAGTGCGATCGTCTATGGGTTCTCGATTCTGGCAAAACGGAGCTCGCTAAAAAATCTAAGCAGATCTGTCCTCCCGCCATATATATCTTCGACCTTCGTACCGACACCCTCATTAGGAAGTTTACTTTACCGGATGAATACATCAAGCAGGATTCTTTGTACATCAACATCGCAGTGGATATCAGAGACAACGACTGCGGCTCAGCGACAGCATACTCGGTTGACGTTTGGCGATACGGTCTCGTCGTATACGATTTCTTTAAGAACTCCGCTTACAGGGTCGAGCATCACTTCTTCTATCCTGATCCTCTGGCTTCCAGATACGAGCTGCATGGCATAAGGTTCCAATGGACTGACGGGTTATTCGGGATAGCTCTCAGTCCTCTGGATATTCATGACGACAGAACGTTATTCTTCCATCCGATGTCAAGCTTTCGGCAGTTCGCTGTGTCCACGTCGATTTTCCGGGATAGAAAAGTTGCGGATCGAAGTACGGAAAAATTTATGCCCGTTGGGCGACCCAGAGCGAAAGACTACGGTCATGCTTCGGGGTCTGCCATCGATAAGAACGGCGTCATGTTCTTCAACATGGTCACCAGAGACTCCGTGTGGTGCTGGGACACTAGGAAAGAGTACATACCGCAAAATCTCGGGGTGATCGGCACCAGCAACGTATCTTTAGTGTTCCCGAATGACATCAGAGTGGATCACGAGCACGATCAAAGTGTCTGGCTGATTTCGAATCGCTTGCCGATATATTTGTACGGGACTTTGAACAATGGTAATATCAATTACAGGGTATTCAAGGCGAACGTCAAGGAGGCTATCAGAGATAGCGTCTGTGATCCTAATTATGTAGTTCCTGAATCGGATCCGGGACTTGATGATGTATGCTAAAAGAAATTATTCACACATCTCATTGCGATAAACGGATGCTCGATAGGGCAAGTAAAAATGAAAAAAAAAACCTTTTTTGACATTCAAATGTTCTTTGTAGTAAAGTTCAAGCAGCTCTCTGTTCAGCAGTGCATTCTGTAAAACAACTTATTTAAATTATATATATATTTATAAATTCTCTGAAAAAGAGACCTTTCTATCTCTCCTTTTTTAAGATATTGTGTATTTATTTTTTATATTGATTATATTATTATTTTGATTGTTGTCAATTATAAAATGTGATGAATCGAATGAACTAATACGAGTGTGTTTTCGTACGATATTAAACATGTCGCGCGTTTGTTGATTAAATATTTTTGTTACCACATAAACGATGCAATTTCGTGTTACCAATGACTAGATTACTTTATGTGAAATTTTTAGTATAAATATATATATATTTTTTTTTTGTACATATATATAAACACGAAACTTGTATAAAACTTTTATTGCGCAAAAAGCATAAAATCATATATAATATCATATAATAATATCAGAGGTATAATATCATATAATAATATCAGAACTGATAAATTTCTGCGTAATATTGTCTATTATTTCGAATTATAAATTTATAATATTACGAATATAAATTTATAATATTACGAATAAATTTGTAGTGGATTCGGCGGGTATGCACTGAGAATGCAGCATAGTCCTTATTAAACAGGTATAAGATACCTTACATTGCAGCATTAAATTATTGCAACACTAGGAAATAAAACAGCAACTTGTATAGAACAAAATAAAGCATCAGAATTTGTGAATAGACTTTTTGAACATTATTTCTAATTTGTAGAATATATATATATATATCGTAAGATTTACTTGTTATTTAAGAATTCCCTACGGCAATATAAAATAATCTGTTGCCTAAGGCATGTGCAACAAATTTATAACGATTATTTCACTTACATGTAACGCAAATCGAATCTCAATTATGTCTATTTTTATGATATTTACCTGACAGCAACTATGTATCGTATTAATCAAATAATTCTTTTTGCATGACGCCCGTACGGTAAATGTTAATTAAATATTGCATACTAAGTTACAAGATAAACACATATTAATTTTCGTTATCGAGAGAATGTGAGGAGTTATCGGCAAAAATGTTCGAAGATGTTCTTGGCGGTATAGTGTCATTAGAAAACTCTTCCATCAAACTACCTCCATTCACCGTCGGTTCTGAGCTGTTCCTTTCGAGCAAAGAATTGATATCACTTTCATCGCTCGAATATATTCCGAGAAATTGGTCTGTCAAAAAATCCTTTGTTCTTCCGTAAATAGGTCTACATTCATTTTTGTTTCTTATGCCATTTTGCGTCGTACTCGTTAATTTTAAAATCTCAATATTTCGAGATTGTAAAATGTTATCGTTACTTTTAATATCTGAATTTGAAATTGGCTTTCTCTTGACATTTTCTGAAGTAGCTTGAAAGTTCTCGTTCGAAAGTTGTGTCAGTTTTTGAAGCTCTTCGCCAATTGATTTTAATATCGATGTTTGACTGTATGAATTGACAAGTGACAACGTCTTAGTGGGAGATATTTCCGTAGAGTTTTCCAAAGTGAGATTAAACTCATTTTCCTCCTTTTCATCATTTAAATAGCCTAATTGACGATCGTCATCATCATTGTTATCAAAATTTGACGATCGTGACGTAACATCATTATCAACATTTACGAAAGATAAATTATTCTCGGATACCTTATCTTTAACATTAATATCGATAGCACTCAAATATTTCTCATCTTGTAAATCATAATAATTATCGTATTTTAGCGATTTAACAGATGACGTGGCACTTAAATTATCCGAACCATTATTGTTCAAGCACAAAATTTCTGGATTTTTTTCCTCGATCATGTCGTTGTTATAACCTTGACTCGATGAAATTTGGTCGTACGTATAATTATTTCTTCCAACGGAGTTTACACCGGCCGTATGAAAAACATGGGACGGAAAATCGTTAATTACAGCGACGTCACTTGCACCCCCGTACTCTTCGATCTGTCCGGCCAAAACATCTCGTATACTTTCTTGCGACACCTCGATACCAAAGTTCCTCAACACACTGATTATAAATTGAACTGGTAAATTATCGTTAATCGCACGGTCCGTCTGGCAATTCGCATCGAACACTAAGATATTCGTCGCTTGAACATCTTCGACGCTTAAATGCATGTTTCCTCGAGGCTCGGCCAAATCTCCTGCAATCGAGGTTTCCGATTCGCTGACCTCTTCTCGACCGATAAATATTATGCACAAATCGTGGCCATTTTCCTCTTCGGCGATGTGATTGCTGTTAACATTGAGAAGAAACGAATGGCTCAGGTTATTCCGGCCTTCCGTTATCCACTGGGAATCGGGCAGCGAGTCTCGATCTTGCACGTATATCTCATTGTTCACTCGGCAAATGAAATTCACGCTGAAATCCTCGCGCCGCTCGAAATTCGGAGATGACCCCTCGAGTCTCGTTTGAGCGTGCCGGAAAATCCTTATTGTGATCTCAGGCTTGAAGAAGAAAGCGTTGTGTAATACGCTGACGGTATCGTTGTCGACGATGTCGCGTTGGCTCTCGCGAAATCTCTTGTTTTCCGAAGGTTCGTCTAGCAAACCTTTATTAGTCAGTATGATACCTTGAGGATGAGGACTCCACTTGATATTCCTCGTGACCTCCCAGAGATTCAGTGGACGCGTCATGTCATGCCTCGCGTTACGATCGTCCAGGTCGAAATGACTGTCTGTGTCATCGCGTGTTTTGGATAAACAACTCATGACTCCAGCTTCTGAAGGATAACCGGAGACATTATCGTTGTTCAAGAGACGATCGAGATTTACCATTGGAATTTCGGTATCTTTCTTTCGTGCTGACGACGCCGCATGCTTCGACGAATCATTTTTTCTCCCGTCGATCAGATTCCGACCCGAAAAAGTAAACCCTTTGTAAGTTGCTGGAACTTCCAATTTCAAATCGTCGATCGATCGCTCGAAGTTTCTCGATAAATCCTTCCCCGTTATTGTTTCTACTTCATTCCCGAACAGCGCGGTGCCTTCGAAGGTTTTCAAATCTCTCACCTTGGAAATTTCGGCTACCTTCACCACCGATCGCTCGTAACCCAACGACGAATCGTATCTTTTGCGCGCCTCCAGCTCTTTCTTATCCTCCAACAAGGTTTGCTCGTTGTAAGCCTTTAAAGCTCTCAACTCGATCGCTTCGCGTTCCTCGAGAGATAGTCTTCGGTTCGGCCGTAAATCGTATCGGTTTCTCGTCCTTGCCCGTTTCTCGTCCTCCAGCATGAAATCATAAGTTTCCAAAGTGCTCGCCTCCGTCATACCGTGTACCTGAAATTTCCCGTAAGTCTCCTTCCCGAACGACTCGAAATCGCTGACTGCGTGCAAATCGGGCGACCGTGTGCGCTGCTCGCTTAAAGAAATCACCGACTCAGAGATTTCGGTCTGAACGCTCTTCCGATTTTCCGATTCGTCGCCCGCGACGGATCTTTTCTCGTATCCCGAGGGACGTGCACTCCCAACCAGAGACACGCTGTTCCAGTCAGCGACCGCTTCCGTCCCCGAATATTCTCGGGACGTTTGCGTTCGTTTCTTCGAGCTACGCCCCAAATGTATCAACGCGGAGCTACGTCCGTTCGATTCGTCCCCCTGCGTGACGATATCCGAAGCGAAACCCTTCGATTTTTTCCCACCGATGTCGCGACTGTCACTTTTGTCCTCAACATTAGTCGATCGCGAGTGCTCCTTGTTCTTTTGGGAGTTAATATTCCTACTCAAAGTACAGTGGCACGTAAGCGATGACATTTCAGAACTTTCAGAATTCCCATTTGCGTTCACAGCTAAGGCCGTCTCGACCCGGCAAGGATGTTTTCTCTCATCAACCTCGCCGATCAATTTGTATTCGTAGCCTACAGGAACGGGAGAAAATTCCGCTTCCGCGTCTTTGACAGGAGAAGAACGTGATTCGGCCTTCGGGTTCCTTTCATATTCCTTCGAAGGATTTTGCACAATTTTCGCAGCTTCCTGTGCTTCTTCTTCCTTCTCCCCTGACACGACATTAAAGTTACTTGATTTCGTCACTGCTATGTGACCTTTCACTTTATCGCTCGTAACGTGTCCATTTTTTAGCAGTGAAATCGTTTCTTCCCACCCCTCGGTTGAGATTTCCTTCTTCCCGTCCCGCAAAACCGTCTCGCTGTTATCCTTTTCCTTTTCCTCCCCCGTCGAAGAACGTCCGGCGGCATCCTCCTTTTCCAAAGCGATGTCTGCAGTTCTTTCTTCGTCGCCTCCCTCATTGTCTACCGCGGCCCGGCCGTTTCTGAGAGCACCTTCTATTCCATATTTGTCCCGAGGAAAACGTGTCATCATATTTTCCACCGGATTAAATATCCTTGCGGTCGCATATCGTTCGTCCCAATAGGAGCGCTCTTGTATTCTCGCGCGTGCGTCCATCACATCCTCCGCAGTGATATCGAGCATCTTCATCGATTTCTCCGCCACGCTCAAGTCGTTGCCGATCGAGTCGTGATCGTTCGTACCGTTCGTATCGTAACTATCGTTGATGATCAGAGTCGTCAGGGATTTCGTAGCCCGCAATTCGGGACACACTCCATTAAGCTTCACTCTGTTGGACGATTCCTCGGGAGACTCGTGCAAACTCAGCAGGCTCGCGCACTTACCTCGTCGGGCTATCGCTATGCAAAGACTCGCATCGTCCAGAGAATATCCGGCTCTTCCGACCGTGTCGATAATCCCCGTGTCATTTCTCCGTACAATCGATTCGAAAAACTCCCGGAGCTTCGCCACTTTTCGCAGTTGCATGTACCAATTAAGGGTCGTGCACCATTTCCAAATTGAGATAGCTAGAATAACTGACACTCTTACAAAATTTATTATTTAATCCCGTAAGCAGAGAGAATTGCCGGCGGGACGAATATCCTAACATTTTCCACGGGAGAGATAAATTGAGTAAAAACAATTTTTTAGTAATAAATCCTTTCTCGTTTTACTTTTTATGCTGTCGCACGTTATGCTACGAGAGATGCGAAATGGCAAAAAAATAAAATTATTTCACGTCGAAACAAGATTGAGAAATCTCTCTTCATGATAATTGTATTATCGATCTTTTCAAGAATGCAAAAGTTACATGTCCAATATGTACACAAACAATAATACAGAAAATAAATATCTCCCTGCTTCCTCTTCTAGATTGATTCTGTTTCTGCTCACTTACCAAGCCGTATTGCTTTCTTTGCTATAAACTCGACGAGAAGCGATGTTGTGATACTTCCGTTACGCCACAGTATTAAAGTAATGGTAACAACGATAACTTCCAGGAGGATGTCTTTGACGAAACTGAGCACCATCCAAAATATGAGCAAGTCCTGCCGATCTCGCATTAATATTGTATAGATATTAGCGATATGAGCGACGAGGGACACACTATTGATCACAAATCGAGCCACGACGATCTGCGATAAAACTGGAAATATTCAATATTGCATAAGTTTCATGAAAAAAAAAAAAAAATATATATATATATATATCAGCGCGATAATAAAATATATCTTAAATCAAGAGAAATAAGGTTAATGAATACAAACTGGTCTTAATCCAATCGATATCCGTCACATCAGAATTATCAGGTTGCAAAACTGGCAATTCCCAAATTTTCTTCAGCTGCAGATCGCCCTTGAGCCAGCCCCAATTGAAGTTATTGCCAATCTTATTAAAACATGACGCAATTAGTTTAAATATAAATATAACAGTTTTTCTATGCAGTTGGCGAATTTCCACTGTATGATCGAAATACGTGTATATTGAAATAACCTTTTCAGGCGACTTTGTAATTTAAAAATTATCGTAAAAAATAATGATCTTGCCAGTGAAATACGATGAAATATTATAATAATAAACAATATACCAAGATACTTACTAAATTAAATAGACCTACGGCATTTATTAATAATATCTGCAGTTGAAGAGAGGTTTTTCTGACGGAACGAAACGTCATATATCGAGATCTTCGGAACCAATTCATCGTTGAGCTTATCTTCCGTCCTTACGATCATTCTCACCATACGAATCCTTCAACTTTGAATTTTTTTTCAGTGAAATTTGAAAAATCTGGTTATAAATATAGTTTGCTTAAGCTCAGGTTAAATAAACAGAACAACCACGGACGATCGTCCGCTATCGATAAATGTGCAAAATTCCGACGTTTCATTTTCTTCAGTTTTGTACACGTGGAAATGTGTTCGTCAATGCTGCGAGCTGCTTGCCACCGCAAATGCTTTTACTTTAGACAAATATGGAATTGCTATTCACGCATATGAAAGTTTCATTAACTATGTGCGCAAATATAGCGGCAATGTCAGTCAGTTCATCGCGGCATTATCTCAAAGTCACGTAATATGCAAAAACCAGCAAACATGTCAGCGTCGTATATCAGTTATCTTGGGTTTTTTCTTCAGGAATCTGCCTCCAAAATTACGCTGTAACCTAATAAACTCTATCCGTGTAATAATACATAACATTTTAATATAAATAGATTCTAATAAATATGATAGATAATACAGATGAAAGGAGGATGCTTGTTGAGCCAATTTATTATTATATCTCCTTTTATTCAGATTTACTTATATATCGCGTCAATACAACAATTAACCCTATAAACGCGTAATATTCCTAGAATATTTTAAGAATGTAATATAATATTTTTTAATATCATAGGAATGTTCTATTGATGATATATATATCCATTTCACATAATATTCTTCACATATTATAAAAATGTCCTTAGAATATTTAAAAAATTATAATAATAATATAGAGAAATATATATAAATAATTAAAATAAATTAAAAAATATATGTATAATTTTTTAAATATAAAACGTATTTTTACACAAAATTACTTCGACTTTATTTACATAGTAAAACAATTGATATTACAATACATTTGAAATAAGAAACTACAATTATATATATTATATATATATACATAGAGTTTAATATTTTTAAGCTATATATAATATACAATAATATTAAGTAATATTATTTTTTTAATACTATTAGGGGCGAACCTGTAACCATCTATTAATACTCCAGAAATATTATATAATATTAAATAATATTACGCACTTGTAAGAAAGAGTCCTCTGTAGAAAAAAGAACCGCAGCCGATCATACGCTCAGGATCGCACGAAGCTCACCTTAAAATACCGTAAAATGGCCGTTTCATTACGCAGTACACTTTATCAGAAGCGAATGAAAGAGAATCTCTCGACGATTGCAGAGGAAATTATACGAGGCAATTAGCGGAATAGAAGCTCCCGTCACTCCTCGTTACGCCGCCTCGAGACCGTATCGAGCCTGCGGCTGCAGCGAAACGTCTAAACGCGAGAAAGGTCGGTACGGTTGCAGCGCAGAAGTGCCGCGCTTCCCCCCTCCCCCCCCCCCCCC